ATCAAAGTGTAAATCACGTTGTGCCTTTTGATCCTTCTGCAGTTTAACTCTTATCTCTTGCATTGCTGTCACTAGTGCACACTAGCTTTCCTCTGCCCAGACACAGCTTAGTGCTAGTTTTATCTCCTGCTCCAGTGGCAGAATTTCCACTGGTATTTGGAGTGCCCTGTGATTCTGCTCACGCACAGAAACGTTCTCTTTGCATCTGGGTGCTTCCCAACACTGCCCATCTTTCACATGTAGGTTTCAGTGCTCGTGCATTGTGTGCAGTGAGCAACAATGCAACTGCAAGCAGTGCAAAGGTGGGCATGTCCTGTGTATGCCCAATGTTCAGATTTGTTGCAGAAGTATTGTCTGGTCTTGTATTGTTTTTCTGTAGCTGACAGTAAGTAAGCCTGTTTTCGGTGGGTGGGTGGGTTGATCTGTGTGTGAGAAAGGTTTTAGACACGTAGAGAATTAGAGGCCTCTGCTGTAAGCTCCTATAGAGTGGTGGGCAACTGGTCACTGTGCTTTGAGGGCCATAGGGGCTGGCAAGGAGCCTCACCAGCGGCTTGCCGGAGTCCCAAAGGAAGGTGGTTGCATGGCCTGTGAGGTGGCAGGCCTGGCCTCCCTGTGAGAGGGAGAGGTGGTGAGGAGGGGAGGCCATGGCAGGGCTGTGTCTAGAATTCCATGACTGTTCCTGTGTCTTCCAGTGCCTGCATCCAGCATGTGAGGACTCCGTGTTGTTACGTATAGTCTGGTCCTTTCTTCCTTCCCAGCTGGGCTCCTGCATGTGAGTTAACCTCCACTTTTCCCAGTCACACAATGAAGAGGTGGGCAGGCATGCTGAAGGAGTGCTGGAGGGAGCCGTGCAGCCCTAACCTGACTCAAACATCACTTTGTGCTGTTGAAGCCCGCTTTCAGCAGCTGTCATCTGCAGGTATTGCTTAGCCAACACTGAGATCTGAGGCTCTTCACTGTTTTTTCCTAATTACTTATTCTCTCCCACCCCTTTCCTTACTATTTCTCCTTCTTCCTACCTGTCCATATTTTGTCCTGACTTCTTATAAAATTTACTCTCCGCAATCCAAATTTAGAGATTAACTGAAATAGCCAGAAACAAGGGCAGCTAAGAACTGTGTTGGTGGAACTTCTGTACTACCACAAAACCTGTACCAGTGTCTGACATTGAAGTAAATATACACAGGAAAACTTGACTAAGAAACTAGAACCTGAAGTTCTAAAGGTGGTGGAGGAGAGAGCAAAAATTTCAGCTTAAGATAGTACTACGTTCACTGGAAAGCAAAGGAGCACCAAGATCACAAAACAGGCAGGTTTTATTTGGACATGGCAGCAGTTGGTTTCCACTGAACAATTTTCTTCCTGTTCCTGGGTATCAGTTTCTGTACATCCATTTTTGTAGGTATACATATGCACACAAAGCACACACTCAAATGAGCTGCTCTTTGCTGAAAAAAAAAAAAATACTTTTCTGATACAATCAAGATAGCAAAATGCATAAATGGCAAAACCTGCTTACGTATGAACATGTTCTAAGGTGTTCTTTGGAGTCTCCCTTGTACAAAAGACTGGCAGAGCTGTTATTTTGCACCTTGTCTGAAGTCTGCAGGATACATTGCAGGAGGGCTGGCTTGACTGCAAATCCGCCTTGTGCTGATGATCGGCCTCGGCAGATCCTTGGGGCAGGACAGTCTGCACCATTATCTCAGAGCAACTTGGAACCAAAGCCTAGCTGCTGGTCAAAGCTCAAGGAAGCAGATGTTCCTTCCATCTGCAAGCTGACAGTGTGACAGCGTTTGTGGTTTTGGTGGAACATATTCATATCCATTACCGCACTGTACCATAAGGACTTACTTAGCAAATACAATGCTCCTGAATTATAGAATAGCCAGAGTTGGAAGGGACCCTTTAGGATCATTGAGTCCAACTCCTCAGGAAGAAATTTGCTCCTGATACAAATCTCTAGCTTGTAGCTGAGGAGCCCTTTGTGTGTTCCCTGTGCCTTTGGGCCTTTTCATGCTCCAGTGAGGACTTGCATGCACTTTGTTTCAAATTGCCTTCCATGCCTTTTACTTACAGCTGTTCTTCTTTGGCTGTTTGTAGTGGTTCTGGAATGGCTGGTTATCCTCACCAAGCTGATCAGATGCTCTGTCAGAAGAACTGTGCAAAACTGCTGCAAGTAACCTGGGGTACACTGAATGGCTGTAGGGTGGGGTGCTGTAGAAAATCCTCATTGCTTTGAATGGTCAGTATAGTAATGTCTGCTAAGTCTTAACAGCAAATTAAATTAATGAGGTAGTTTCATATGTTTTGTGGTGAAAATTTGCCTTCTTGCTTTGCTCCAAGCTTGCCTATGATTTCCTGCAATTATTGTTTGGCTCTCTGCTGCCTTTCCCAACTGCTCCAGGATGCAATCTGTTTGGCCAGAGCAGAGGTACGTTCCCTGGCTGTCAGCTTGCTGGTCTGTCCTGTTCTGATAGGAAACAGAAGCACAGGGGACAAGATAATTTTGCTTGATTTGCCAAAGAATTTTGTTTTAATGTTTTAACGAAGCTCTGACTGAAGGACAACTGGATCTCTGATCCTCCTTTCCTATATTACAGCATTTCAATCATCCCAGCTGGGCAGATATTATGCCCTGAAAGCTCTGAGAAGATCTGAGCCACTTGCCCCGATTACAGCAATTACTGAGACAGTGGTAATTAAGGTTCATTTTTCTCAAGTGAAGCAGGAGTGTAACGCAGAGGTTCCTCATGGATGCTCATAGTTCATAGCTTTAGCTATCACTAGAGATAGTGAATAGGAAACTATCCCTGAAAGCCCTACAAGGTGTTCTCAAAACAGGAGAACCACTCCTGCTGTGACATAGTTTAGAAAATTTTAGCTGCATGTGAATACTGGTTGTGTTGCATTGTATGGGATCACTCAGATCCCAGGTGCAAGGAGGGTTCCTGGCAAAAGACAGCGTTGTGCCATGAGGGCACTGTGCTCGGGAGAATGTGTGTGCTGGAGGTAGAAGCCTGGAGGAGCAGTTAGGTGAGAATCAGGTGATGAAAGCTACACAACTCCAGTGCTAAACTTGCACCACTGATTCTTAAAAATATGTCTCACTTGGAAGGGGAAAAAAAAAATAAAAATGAAGAAGTGGTGTTTGCCAGCTGGGACTCCCCAGGCACTCAGCTTGCTTTGTTTGTTTCCATGAGTCATTTTTAGAACAGGCACCAAAATGCAACAATACTGAGTCACACAGAGACGGCAGCCAGCTTCTTAGAGCACACAGCTTTCTTGAGGAGAGTAGAAAATATCCTAAAAGGAAAAATGCCTCTACAGCTTTCATACATAATGAGAAATTGATTCAGATACGTGTATATATATATATATATATATATATATATATATATATATATATATATGGTTGATGTAACTGGCTTTCAGAAAGACTAAAAAGAAATCTTTCCAGTCTGTCCCTTCAATTCTGAGACCTAGAAGGAGCGAGAGAGCAGTGGGCTGTTGATTTAGGACATAAGAAAGGATACTCCTGAATGAGCACACGGTTGCTAACTGCATGCTAATGGCTCCGGCACAGATCAGGACAAACTCAGGGAAGGGAGAGGGACTGGCTCCATTCCCCAGGCTGCCAAGCGTGCCAGGTGCCTTCAGCTGCTGCCTAAAGCTGCTCCTGCAGCAGAATACATCCAGTGCTACCTCCTGCTTGGCAGCAAAACCCCAACTGCAGAAAATCAGGTGCTAGGAGACCTCCTTCATTCACATGCTTTAAAAATCTGCTGGCCATTTCCTTCCTCTGCTCCTTCCTCTATCTGCACAGGCACTGACGAAGAGCTCCTGGGGGGATAGAGCTTTTTCTGTCTGCTTTTCTCAAAGGCAGCTCAACTTCCAGGATGTGATCATTTGTTGTGGGACGGTCCCATCTCATCGCCTGGAAACAGAGTTATTGGGGAGTATCTATTCCAAAACTGCAACAAAGGCAAGTGTTCATCTGACCTCCTCAGATGGGAAAGGCTTCAGCTGAAGGCTTACAGCACAAGGAGTTCTTCCTTCACGTAAAGGAATTATCTGGTCTGTGCTACAAAAAGCCATTCTGGATTCATAAGAAGGAAAACATACTATACAAACTACTGTGATAATAAATACAGCTCTATGCAGGATCAACAGACTATGAAAAGATGATCCACTTGTATAACATATAGATGGCAGTGAATAGTTCTGCCCATATCAAAGCATGGTTAAGATTTTTTTCCAGCCATAGAGGAGCTCAAAATGCTAACTCAAAAGAGACAAAAAAAACGTTTTTCTCACCTTCACTGAGAAGTGGCTGACAGGAGAAACAGAAAATTGTTGCGGCTTAAGCTAAGAGGCAAGTTGTCCCATCCATAGCAACTGATGCTGAGTGGTGAAACAAGTAAAACAAAGCTCACTTGAAGCAGGAGGCTGCTAAAACAAAGTCACAGTGCCTCTGGTGCGTTGTTTGTACATTGGACAGTACTGTTTAAAAAGACTGTTTTCCCATATCTGTTTTTCCTCTGGTCTATCTTTTACAATGCAACAAAGAAGAAAAATACCTTCTTAATGCAAATACTGTAAGAGTTCCAGAGAACAGCACTGTCAAAAGTCTTAGAGTTCTCAATCACATAAGAAAAGCTGGGGCAAGGGATGCTCCTCCTTGCACAGTGCTGGAGTCACTCACCCCCTCTCTGAGTACTGCACTTGGTCCTTAAAGGCAAGAAAAAAACCTGATGCAAACATCATTTTCTACCTTGCACCACCATGGTTAGCAATTGCTTTTTGGTTTGTGAGAACGTACTGACAACATGTTATTAAAGAACAGAAGGATGAGGAAGTCATCGATGGTGTCCTGTACAATCTCACTTTCTTGTCCCTGCTTTACTGAAAGCGCAAAAATAGCTGACTGCAGCTGTAAACTTCAGCTAAGATGTAAACTCTGATACACTTGGGATGCTGGCAGAGATAAACTGGGGATAAAACTGAAAAGGATATTTAATATAGCGGATAAGAGCGCAGTGGAGAAGTATCAACTCAGAATGCAACTGTTGCTTAACAGCTGTTCTGTCTGTACAGGTAAACAAAGACTTGGAGAAAGAGTAGTTTGGCTACAGAAACTGGCTGTAGCTGTAGCTGTCTCTGGTAACAGGACAAGAAAAAGGTTTCATTATAGACAAATCATCACTGAAATCAAATATATAAACTGAATATATTAAAGCTTTGAATTTTATTACTCTTAATTTCTTCAGAATATCTTACCCTTCTCTCCTGTTTGATGGTGGGCCTAAACATGGGAAATAGAAGGATAAAGGAGAACCCCACTAAACGTGGAGTACATTTCGTCAGAGTCTGTGTAGGCCAGCTTGCCTCCTGTTACGACGACATTTACTTCATCTCCTGCTTTGAGGTGAAGAACAAGGTGGAATGTTCCAGGACCACCACAGGTCCGTTTCCCCGAGTAGGGTTTGTGGTACTCCAGCAGTTCCCTTCTGTACCCAGCCGTGTGCAGCTGAGCAACACTTGCATTGGAGACGGACAGCACTGCTTCAACATACTCATCCCTCTCTGGAGCCAGCACAGCCGTGATCAGGTAGCGCCCTTCATATGGTGATGTGAATATGCCTGCAGGAGAGAGACAGGCTGAGCTTGTCCGAGTTGGTCAACACAGACAGGCCCAAGCACCCTATGCACAGTGAGAAACATGAAGCAACATGGGTTAATCCTCTGCTCACATAGATAATTGCGATAAGATCAGCTCAGGCAGCTGACCAACTGGAAGCAGTTATGAAGGCAAAGGAGAGTCTTGAGCTACAGGACTCTTCCATTACCATTCATTTTAGAACTTCAGGCTCGGCTTGCAGAAAGTACCAACACCACAGGGATGTACACTTAAGTCCTGTTGCAGAGATACACATATAATCCTGCTACTTCTTTTGTGTCAGAGCCCACCAGTCCTTAAGGACTTTAACTAGCATGTCTTGTCCACACTCAGAAGCCACCTGTCCTAAGGAGTTGCCACAACTCATAGCTGGGTGAGGAAGCAAAAGGCAGCCACGTGCTGTGCAAGTGTCCAGGAGGCTGAGGCACGCCTAACACCCTCAAGAGATATGACACTTGAGATGGAGGTGGCCATGGTAACCATCACTGGGGAGGTAAAATATATTACCTCATTTCTTCCTCTGTCCAGGCCACAGTGAGGTGGGTCAGTAAGTGCTTCTCGGCTCTAACTGGATGCAGCTGCTTGAGGTGGGGTGGGAACACAGACCTGCAAGTGCTGGTGATGAGCTGTGCCTCAGCATGATTGGGGTGGTGTGGAAAACCAAATATTACAAGTGTGTGCCTGCTAAATCCATGGGAAGCTCCTACCGTGGTGGATCTGGTTTGGGTGGACTCATGTATTTTGTTTTGTTCAATGCACCACAAGGCCAGGGATGGCATCATACCCTGGTAACATGTTACTGCCATCTGGCACCTCCGTGGATCCGTTCTTTGGCTGTTACCTGTATTGGGGTTGTAAAAATCCCCATCATTCACGAGCACTTTGTTAAAGTGAACGACGCCAACGTCACTGGAGAAAGGCTTCTGTGTGAGCCCAGCTGAAAAGGACACCAGAGAGGCCGCAGCAGCAGCAGGTCCTAAAATGGGTAAGAACATGACTTAGGGTCATTTCAGGACAACACAGCCCTTCCCTGTAATGGTTTATAACCCAGTGTCTCTGTTCCCGCAGGTACACCACTCAGCCTAGCCCTTGAGGGATGCCAGAATTAGCAGACTACATACTGTTGGCCCAAGCCCCAGGTGTCTCACCATTAAAAAGACATTGAGTACTGCAACACTTCCCCTTTGGCCACAGCCTCCCAGTCAGAAAACAGGCATTGCCTACAAGTTGTTTTTCCTTCTAAGGAAAAGAAACGTGGCTCATAAATACTGCAAGCGGAAATCATGCCGTACCTGAATTTAGCAAGCCTCTGCCATAAAATTTCCATGGGATTCAGGCTGCCCCTGGACATCTCTGCTCTATATCGCCATCACAGTGGCAACAGAAGTGCTGAAGGTCTATAGCTCATGCCAGCTTTCCTAGTTAAGTTGAGAATCAGAGCATACAGCTCTGATTTCCTCTGCTAAAGAGCCGTGAAAATATCTACAAAAGCAACAGGTATTCCAACAAAGAGAACCATCCCTGGGGCTCTTCTCCTTTTCTTTTGGGGAATTTTTCACTCTATATCTTTACTCTTTTCTAAGCAAATCAGACAGACACATGAGTATTTCACAGTGACTATCATCTGTTTACCAGCTAAACAGTGCAGTTACACTGGTGATTGATGAAATGTCCTTTGGACGATTAGGACAAAATTTTGCTTTTAAGCAGACAAACTTAAAGACAAGACTTAAGTGACCACCCACCTGTTCATCTTGTTTTAGTTCCCTTTCCTCTACACATTTCCCTTAAGCAGGAACACTGCCAGCAGTGGTCAGCTCTTGTTTCTATGCTCAATTACTAGTAAGTAATGAATACACTTAAAGTTCCCCTTGGCTGCTCTTTCTCTTCTGCCCTATTCAGATTAGGATCCATGTCATCTCTGTGCTGTGCCAGTCCTTGCTCCTTGCTCTGCTTTCCTTAAAATAAACATTTGTTTCCTCTTTCTCTCAATTTGACAGTGTCTATCAGCAACCAATGATACAACCATTCAATTCACTTCAATACAGAGAAGGTGACAAATCTTTGTCTACAATGAGAATACACCAATGCTGTGCTAGACTTTTTTTTTCTTTTTTTTTCCCCTGAGTAACTTGGCATGAACACAGGGGAATTTAGGGGAAGGAGATGCAAATAACCACCAGCAGTTCCCTTCGGGGCTATTAACCAGATGTCTCATGTATCTTTGGAAATCTCCTCATTCAGTACTTAGCCTGCTTTGTGAGACAGAAGCCCTTTTAGCTGCCAATGCACGTGCAGGAGCTCCTTTGAACTGAGATGAAGTTGTTCAAAGGGCCCAAATGAATTGCAGGAAGTCTACTTAAGGAGCTCCTGCAAAGTTCCAGCACTTTAACACCACCTTCTACTCTCAGCTTACTCTGAGACTGAAACCAACAGTTGGTGCACATCAACTAACTTCTCACTGGTTGACTCAGACAGGTTCTTCTCACCTGTAGCCACACAGTACAGATGGCACAAACTCTGCAGTTTGCCCATAATCGCTGTGCTGGAACTCACAGCAGCTACATACCATCCGGATGGGGAAGTGACTCCTGTCCTGGCTCACCACAGCTTCCCTTAGGTTTTCCTGCACTGACAATAATTGTTTGAATAGACTTTAGATTCTGCTGCTGAAGTTGCTTCAGATCCGCAGCCTTGTTCTTCTGAGCCATCAGCTCAGTCTTATGAGTACTGGTCTAAAGAAGGAATCTTAAATGCCTCTAAATATTTGGTAGATTAGTTTAAAAGAGGTTGTGGATGCCCCATCCCTGCAGGCATTAAAGGCCAGGCTGGCTGAGTCTCTGGGCAGCCATGGCTAGTGATTGGTGACCCTGCACATAACAGGGGGGTTGAAACTACATTATCACTGTGGTCCTTTTCCCAGGCCATTCTATGGTTCTATGATTTCCAGCTGCACCTGTGCGTGTTTGAAGCTTTCACAAGTCCTACCAATAGCTCTCAGCAATGCTTTTGCAGAACCTTACAGAGAAGCTAACCAACCTCCCACACATATCCCCACCTGCAAATGCTTTTCCTCACACAGAGATCAGTTTCTCCAGGCAAGGTCTGGGCTTGGAATGTCTCACTTAAGCTAGTGATGTGGAATTACAAAAAAATCAGGAAGAAAAGCTTCAAAGCATTTAAAAGCTAGGAATCACATACACCATCCTCATGAAGACACAGCTTGACAGAGAAAAAGCTTCACAAAAGATTCACAGGCCCTGTGAGCTGTGCTAAAGTCACCTGTTTCTGAAATGGATCATAACTCACAATAGGAAAAATTTCTTCCCAGAAGGATGCAGTGGCACAGGCTGCCCACAGAGGTGTTGCAGTCACCATCCCTGAAGGTGTTCAAGAACCGTGCAGATGTGGCACTGAGGGACGTGGTCAGTGGTCATGGTGAGGATGGGCTGATGGTTGGACGTGATGATCTTAGTGGTCTTTTCCAACCTTAATGATTCTATAATTCATTCAGTGTGTTATGAAGACACAGCTACTTTGCCTAAAAGTCTGTCCATAACAGCCCTTTCTGGTCTTAATGCTCCTAATTTACAAATCTCAGCCGAAAAAGGTTTGCCCTGTGGCTGACCTACTGTTCCTTGCACAAATATCTTTAGTCCTTTACCCAGGCCTTCAAGTCTGCTTCTATGAATAATGCTGTATTTTCATACAAACAGTGGCAAAACACAACCACTGGCGCAATGCCTTCCACTGCACCGAATCAGTAACGCGTAATAACCAGAATATTGTTCCCGGTCAAACAATCAAAAGGAAGGGCTAAATAAGCAAGAGAATCCATTGCAAGCACAGCAGGAGAATTTATGTATTCAATAAACTTTTTCTTCAAATCAAGGAGCACCTGCAGCAACACAAATCTTACATCACAATAAACCTCATGGTTTTATATTTGAAACATTTCCATAGCTTTACTGGAAATGGCTCAATATCAGACAAGTGAGAAGAATTAAAAAGCCCAGACCAACACTCATCTGCATATATTCAGCAGTGTTCATACAGCAGTAGGGTTCATTGGCTCAGCAGTTTTTGGTACTACACAGCACAATAATCAGAGAATCATCAAGGCTGGAAAAGATCTCTAAGGTGATGTAGTCCAACTGTCCACCAACCACCAATACTGCCCATTAATATGTCCCTCAGTGCCACATGCACACTTTTCTTGAACACCTCCAGGGCAGCCTGTGCCACTGCCTTACCGCTCTGAGATGAAACTTTTCTTAATATCCAACACAAATCTCCTATAAAGCTTCTCTGAGAGAAGCCATCACCCCTCATCAGAGCTGCAGGGTTGAGGGCACTACCAACAATGCAAACCAGAGAGTGGGGAAGGCAGTCTGTGCTTTCAGTGAAATGTTTTCACTGTGATCCTCTGTATGCTGATCAGAGTGTTCGAATCCTCTTCTTGGCTCTGTCTTTGCCCATCTGTGTGACTGGGGATCTTCAAGCACTTTTTTATTGGCTCCCAGACCAGTTCATCAGCCAATCTATGACCTCTGCCTCTGCAACTGTCAGTAAAGAAAAGTTCTCATGGCTCTAAAATTGTCATGCTTCAATATCTGCTCATGATGCTTTTTTTCAGTAACAGTTGATTCAACGCTTTTTGCAGTAAAAGAGATTAAGCAGATGAACTTTGGTCCTGGTATTTAGCTCACCTTTATCATAAACTTGTTGCTCAGAAACAGAAATGAAAGGGAATCAGAAACAAAAGGGAGTGCTTAGAAGGCCAATTTAATAATACATGCTTTCTGCTTTAGGAATTACAGGACTTTGCTCGGGGACATGATTTAGCGGGGGGTTGTCAGATTTAGGGTAGTTTGGTTAGGTTGTGGTTGGACTCAGTGATCTTTAAGGTCTTTTCCAACCTGAGCAATTCCATGATTCTATGATTCTATGATTCTACAGTACAAGGCTTGATCTTTCAAATTACCATTTCAGTACCGTAAAATGTGGAAGACTGACAAAGACATGATTAACTAGAATTAGGTATGAAAGATTCCTCAACATCTTACCTAAGTCCTTCCTCCAATAAACTCCAAATCTTCCCTTCCTCAGCTGTTAATTTCTATAACTTTTTCAGCTGCTGTATTCTGCCCCAAATAGTTCCGTCACTGCTATTTATAAGCAGTCCCCACTCGTATGATTAGGGTCAGTGGGTGTAAATGCCCCAACTCCAATAAGTAAAATAGCTATTTGTGCCACATCACATTTGTACCACACCATACTAACTGCTTTCTACGACCTTATCTGACCTCAGGGTGTGCAGGGGATTTTGGGTGAAGTGTGACAGATCAGCAGGTCTGTCTTATAATGAGATAGTCTTCAGAGGCATAGATAGGAAAAATAGCTCCTTGGTTGAGCCTGTCTCTCTGTAGATCTCAGGGTGATACCCTTCGTTGCAACACATCCCACCAGGCAGCAATCATGCACATCAGCTACCCCACCCTGCCCTTCCAACATTTTTAACATGCACAAGTTCATACATTTTTAGCATAAACCTATTAAAATACTACTGCCTATAACTGCAGAAGTTTGTATAGAGAAGAATAAACCCCCAGGATATCCATTTATCACAGAAATCTAGGCATTTATATTGACTTTGCTGGCATCAAGATAAATGAGCTTTTCTTTACTTCACATCCTTTTCCAGAAGCCTTATCTATAGCTGCTTTTTCTTGCCACTGCAATCCTCAAGATTGCTTCAAGGCTCTGATAGATTTTTAATTAGAAAGTATAGGTATCAGAATTATGACATCGAATCTTCACAGCTCTTCTTGTCAGTCCTCAGATCAGCCTTCAGAAAGAGCACCTGTGATTTTTTTTTAAGGCTACTAAACTAAAACCCAAGGTTGGGATTTCGGATGCCATCAAGCCCTGATTTTGTATCTACTTATGATACTTCCTTAAACAAATTTAGATGAAATCACTCTTTGTGAAGAAAGGGTGGGAATATTCACAGGATATCATTCACAAGACTTTGATAATATCTGGGGTGTGAGGCTGCAGGGCAGGCAGCACCCCATCAACATAGTTATTGAGGCCAACTAGTGTCTCCCACACAAAGGTAATATACCTGTTTATCATACATATCCACGAGTGAATTATTATATGGACAATTATGATAAAGCTACACCTAACCTAGAAAACTGCATTTTACATCTTTCTAAATGGTGGTGGACAGTGGGAACACTCCTACTTTCACTGTAGTCAGGAACATGTTGTATTCTTGTCAACAAAGGCAGAAACTCCCCCGTGAGAAGGACCAACTCACGTGCTATCTCGGTTACTAACAGTGCTTCAAGACCTTAGAATCAGCCTTATTAATCTCTTACTAAAGAAATATTAAATTCATTGGAAAGAATTATCTATTTTTTCACTTAAAAGGAACAAAGTCAGTCCTGACATTTGCTAGGAAACAGAAACTATAATAAAAAATAAAAAAACAACCTCACAAAATAAGCAACAGTAGCCCCAAATGAATTATTTTTTAAGATCAAATTTTCAAAGGATGCAGATTTAATGCTTCGGTAGAACAAAAAACGCATCAGATTTTCCTCAGCATCACTTTGTTCTCCCAGCCAGCACTCTCCAGAGTCTGAAATAAAGCACCTGTGCAAAGAATTTCTAGGAAACAATGATCTTACCTTGTGAGTCTATGTTTGGAGGTGATAACTTTGGATATCCTGAAAAGGAAAAGTAATATGTGTTGCATGGTATGTAACTGAGTACATTATGACAGAGAATCATTGCATTCTTCTAGAAAAATATCCTCTGTTAGCATAAAATAGCCTACTGAAATAGTTAACAAACAGCATCTCCTACAAAATGCTCAGATTATCGTTAAGCTGCGGTGGTTGTGGCAAAGAAAACTAAATTCTTATTCTAATACAGTATAAGCACTACAGGAAGAAAAAGTTAGTTCTCCCTAGTGGCAAATGCTGCTGTACTCACCAAGAATTTTACATCAGCCCCACTGACATCATACTCTGCACAGCCCTGGCAAAGGTAACAAAACTGGTACTGAGCATGTTTCCCCTGCTTCCATCGCCAGCTGGAGGCTGCCAAGCTCCATTACAAACCACCTCTGCCATAAGCCTGTTCCAAATAGCCGTAACGGGTGAACAGGAAGGCCCCCCTAGAAAATACCTGGCGTGTCCATGGGTCTTACTGAAGAGTTCACTATTCGTTTGACTCTCACCTGGTGCTCCAGCGTACCCCTCCGCAATGGGCATGGTGCTCTGACCAGCCTGACCATCGACGCTTCTCAGCTGGCCTCTCCCTGACATCAGCACTGTGCCAGGAGGTCCGGCCTCCCCGGTTTCCAGGATGATCCCGGTCGTGCCAGGCAGGAATGGAGTCAGGGCTGAGCCAGGCAGCCCCGGGCGTGCAGGCCTGGGCTGCGGCGGCTGCAGCGGGGGCCGCTGCCGTGGGGGCTGGATCCTGGGCCTGGAGGGCAGCAACGGTGTGCCAGGCTGGGGCTGCAGCGCAGGTCTCGGTGGCACTGCCTGCCGCGGTGCTTCTGGTCGCCCTTTGGAACATTTGAAGAAGAAAATAACCGAGAATTATTTGCCTAACACAGAATTGCTGCATGCACATTAATGAAAGTATTTCAGAATTAAATGGGACTCAATTCAAGACCATCTTACCGCTCAGACACTGAGCCACGTGGACAAAACTCCACATTGCACTTGAAATACTACAGACTGCCCATTTCCTCAGCCTGTGCCACAGGGATGGGATGAGCAACAGTCAAAGCAACCTGTGAACACTCCCTTGATTAGTCCAGCCTGGGCTTTCTGCACCAAGCCAGCCTGTATTTTACAGCTGCCTCCCACCAGTGCTTTCATCCCCGCTTCATGCTCGCCCTCCTTCCTTCACGTCAATCCCTCCTGCTGACATCTCTTCCTTCTACTCTGCCCTCAACACCCAGCACAGAGCAGACTTGTTCATATCCAAGCCTTGAGCTTGAAAAAAAATAAATCCACAGAAGAAAAAGACAAACAAAAGAAGAAAAAGACAGGACACTGGCTTAGGGATTTTCCTCTCCTTTGAAAAGCAATGAATTAATAATTCTAAGTGCTCCCATTACTAATATTTTCTAACAACAAAGACAGAACCCCAGGATATAATTTACCCAAAGTGCCTTTATTGTTTAAAAAGAAGAGATACCATTAAGAGAGTTTTCCAGTAGGGCAGCCAATGCATATGACATCAGGGCTGACACAGTTACACTTGAGATCTGTTCCAGTTCTAATTTCCTTATAGGAATTATGATGTATTCATATAAATGAAGTCCCAGATTAAATTTAAGGATACAATATCCTCTGAAGTGGGAAGCGGATATATTTGTTGAAATTTAAGACTGAAACATGACTTTAGGCAAAGGGATGGGAGTGAGAAATGGACAAACGTCCCCTTGCAAACTACCCAATTCAACTCATCATGCCAGACACTCCACCAGAGTCTGCAGCAGGACCCAGGCCCTCCATACCTCTCATAAGAACTTCACATAAGCTTTCCAAATCACTATAAGGCTATCCAAAGTTACAGTCTCATAACACCTGCATTCATTTGCTATATATGCCCTCTAAAAAAGTCTTCCTGAGTTTTGCTGGCTGATTTTACATCAGTTCTAAGAGACAAGCAAAGGAGAGTGCACCCTCTGGGAAATGAGGAGAACTGGCTTCTTTAGACATGAAGAAAGCTGAGGTACTTAATGAATTCTTCGCCCTGGATTTAAACTAAAAAAGGGGAGATTTAGGTTAGTTGTTAGGAAAAAATGCTTTACTAAGAGGGCAGTGAGGTGCTGGCACAGCTGCCCAGAGAAACCGTAGTGCCCCTTCCCTGGCGGCACTCAAGGCCAGGCTGAATGGGGCCCTGGGCAGCTGAGCTGCTGGGGGCAGCGCTACCCATAGCATGGGGTGGGACTGGGTGGGCTTTGAGGTTCCTTCCAACCCAAACCTTTCTGCAATTCTATGACCCTAATTTGTGATACAATGCTAACAGTTAATGTTATCTCTCACTGACGTAATGCAGAGTGTACAGTCTGTTTCTTACATTGTAAGTCCAGCAGATGATATTTAGCTGTTATTTTTCAAACTCTTCTACAATCACCAGAGGAATTGCAGCTCAGGTCAAATAACGGTAACCAAAGCAAACTACAAGCAGCTGGCTTTAAGACTATACTTCCATTCACCAAAAAGTTTCATGAATCCATATGAAAAGCCAGCAGCAAAAAAGAAACCTCTGACTTTAACACCACTTAGTTTCACAACATTTGAAGAACAATTGTGTCTGCAGAGAGGAACAGACTGCAATGAGAAGCTCTTCTGCAAGGACTTATACTGTAAGATGAAGAGCTGGGGGCAGCGATCATTTTATTTTGGACAAAATATGGCTGGATTGCATTACCTTGGCAAATACATCATATGCAGTCATTTATGTGCTTGGAGCAGACCACCACCTGCCATCACCTTGTTTAATGCTAACAGAACAATGTTATGCAGTCTTCACCAGAAATCCAAACTAATACCACATGCTTCTGGCCTCTGGGTCTCTATGTGCTGTCATGTGCAGCCATTCTCTAATGCAGTGTCTTAGTTTGGACTCTGAATTCAAAACATCTGAATAAAAAATTCGGAAGAAAATATAGCAACGCTCCTAGATTAAGTGATAAGAGTTGAAGTTGTATTCCTTCTGAAGTATCCTTGCCTTACCACCCCCAACGACCATATATTAGTAATGAGTTGTTCCAGTTCTGGTCCTTCTGAAGTCAAATGATATCACTTGAATGCTATGATATGCTGGCAAATAGCACAGAAGAAATTTAGCACTGATCTACAGCCAGAACTGAAAACCCTTCCAATCAGCATAGGTATCAGAGAGGATCCCGCAGTCACACATGAAAATAAAAACCGTTAGAGCCGTGCCCAGCTCCCGTAACGGGGCTCCCAAACTGCTTTCCAAAGTGGCTCTTTTGCCAAAATCTTTCTGGACCTCCAATTATCAAAGTTTACCAGACTGCTGTGCTAGACAGTATTATTTTAATTGGAAACATTCGAGGATCAACGCATGAACCCTTGAGGGGCCAGAAGCAGCTTGAAGCAGAACCAGCCGCCCAGGTTACTCCACTTCCCAGCTCTAACAGCTGGGCTTCTCCCTGGGTGCCTTAAAACCCAGTGGTGGATGCAGAGAACAGCTCTGCTATGAAACTGAATTACGCTATTGCAGCCCAGGTAAGCTTAGGCTTTTTAATGCCTTATAATGCTGTAATAGATGTTGAGAGAAGATTTTACTATGGATATCCAAGAATTTTGGACCTCTTCTATTCCTCCTCACTTCTGCCTTTAATGGAAGAGAATTAAAAATAATTAAATTAATTAGTACTTAACACAAGAGCTTCTCACCTCAGAAGGAATTTTGTGTTAAGTACTGCAATACATTTGGTCTTAATCAAACACTCAAAACAAACACATCTAGCACAAGCTTTCAAGTCTTTGCCTGGGGATGGGAGAAGCATTCTTCCCAACAGAAATTACTTTGGATCTTTCCTGAAGAAACTTTTCCATGCACACAAGCAGACTCTCAGTTATGCATCAGATTTTTCCCAAACAACACCAGCTCCAACAACTTATGAGGCTTTCTTTTAGCACCTTTTCTTCAGATTTAGGGCCAGATATAGAAATTGGCCTCTTTTGTACTGCTTTCTCACCACCCGAATGCATTCTGCCCTCTGAAGACTCCAACTTCATCCAAGAATTAATACTCCAGCAGGACTGGACAGACCCAAACATGGCACCTCTATCTCGATTTTTGACACAGTAATTTGCCTTGTGTCAAATTTACCCCAGATATACACAGAATTAAAACGAGAAGCATCTCCTGCACTACACAACCAACTGAAAAGTGAAATATCAGAATAGTCTGAACTTCCTATGTTTTTTTTTTTTTTCCTCATGGAAACAGAAACAGGAAACCAACTTGCTTCAGAAAACTTCAACTCTTTCAAAAAACATTGCTGAAATTTTAGGCAAGAACTGCAGAGGGGAGTGACTGGCATTTGGCAAGGTCTCTAAAACCATCATAGCCAGGTTCACTGACATGCAGAAGTCACCATTTCATGGTATTATGAGCCAAAGAGGATGTGCCTCTGCCTCTCAACCACTCTGACACAAACTTGAAACTCACCGGGAAGGCACATTGAGCTAACCAGTTGGATGACTAACAGAAATGGCTGAGACGTGAAAACAACGCCAGTGGTGACGTAAGCATATTGTCAACTTGCCAACTACACTGTGGGAATGCAAACTTCTGGCAGGGCTATGAAGTGTTAAACTGACACATCAAAATATGCCAGAGCTTGTTTGTGAAAGCTGCACATGAAAGAGTTGATGCTGAGTTATAATTATTAACACATGCTGTGGAAAAAACTTACAGGGAACCTTCTTATCATAAATTCAAATTCCTTTGTCTCCAGTTTTCTCAACTTACCCTTAAATTCCCCTGGAGGAATCAGCTGGGGGATTCTCACACATAATTTCACATATACACACATACAAAAAATAAAGCTGAATAAAATTAACTGGAATAACACCCACAGATAACTATTAACTATAACTCATTTAAATACACTATCTAAAAATATTACTTATTCTGGCTTAAAGTAGGCATGAAAGTACATGGTACTTTTTTTTCTTTTAAGAATGCTTTTAAAAAGCAGTCAAAGTTCTCGATGGTGTTCTAAAGCAAAGAGTCAAAATTGCAGTTGTAAAAACAAAGCAGTAATGGTGTAAAATTATTTTTTTCCTCCTTTGTTTAGTTAATCTATATATGATTCAAAAAAGAAGGCCTGTTAAAAGCAAATAAAACGGCATTAAAAAGACAGGAAAACTTACTTGTGTCAGACTGTGATTTCAGCATGCCTTCCATGTCTGTGGTAATTTTAGAGACCTGACTATAAAACCGCTGGACAGAATTTTTGAGGCCAGAAATATCTTTGGAATGAGATGATATAGTTCCATTCATTTCACGTATGCAGTTCCATAAGCTGCTCACGTGCTTATCTAGACCTTCTTTTATCTTCTGCAAGCTACCCGAAACAGAGTCCAGCTTGCCACAAACCTTTTCAACACGTGAGACTCTGCTCTCAACATCTGAAACGCCGTCCTGCATACCATGGGTCTTTTCTTTACACTTGCTATGATCATTCAGGATTTGGTCATTTAATTGTTCTAGTCTCTCTCTCACTTCACTGCAGCAATTATCACTAGGATGAATGGTTTGATTTGCAAATGTCTTCTGCATTTGATCAATTTTTCGGTAGACACCTCTTTGTGTCTTTCTACAGGTTGAGTTGACTCCCAGAAGTTGCTCCTTGCAATTATTCAAGCCATCTTGAATATTCTTCACATCTTTATCCATGACATTTAGACTATACCGGAGTACACGTAAATCTCTCTGTATTTTCTGGTTGTCACGCTGGTTGCCCTTAATTTTCTCATTAAGAGAGCTATTTAAAAATTGCAGAAGAGCAGAGTTGTTCTCTGTTTTCATAAGCAAGTGACTGTAATTGTTATTACAATTTTCTAGCTCTTTCTGAAGGTTCTCCATACCTTGTGGTGCAGACTGACACTTCTGCCCACAGAGGCGTTCAAGGGACAGCAGTTTGTTTTTCAAGAGATTCATCTCTGCTGTAAATTGCTCATTTGCAAACCCAGTGTCACTGGGCATGATAGGCACAGGATTCATATACATTCCATCTGGGTCTGTGGTATTAGCCATCTCTAAAATAGTGCCACCCAGCCTATCTTCTAGTGCCCGTAGTTTTTGGTCAAACAAATCTCTCAGCTCATCTGCCTCAACAGCTATAGTGTTTCGGAGAGTTTCCTCAATGTAAAAGCAGTGCTCTTCAGCATTTCGTTCAGTGATGTTCATCCTTGCATCTAGCTCCTCCAGCCTCTCACCAAACATGTCTTCCAAATCTGGAGTTGACAATCGACTGATTTCATTATCTATTCTCACGTTCAAGATCCTGTGTGCTTCCACAACTCTGTCAAGCTTCTTATCTAAATCTTTTATCTGCTGGTCCAAGTCATTTCTCTCACTCTCCTTGCAGCAACTGGAATGGTTTGATGGAATCTGAGTACGGAGAGAATTTATCTCCTTCTTCAAGTCATTTTCTTTGCCTTTTATAACATCTATTATACCTAAACAGTTATTTTCATTGTCATCACACTGCTGCTGGATATCCTGTAGTTTGTATTCACAAGAGTTCTTCAGATCTGCCATTTTCTTTTCAAATCCTTCCAGCAATTCCTGTCTGAGGGACTCAAATCTTGAGTCTATATATTCCCGATATATATTGTCACTAGGCATTGTTATTGTGGGTCCCTGTGCTGCCTCCTGCAGTTGTTTTAACTGTCCTTCATAGCCTTTTACTTTACCATTCAGTTCTTCCAGCTTATCATTCCTGTTCTTCAAGGCCTCTTTGACCTCAGCTAGCTCAGACTTCAGATCTTCCACTTCAAAATCAAGAAAAGGGTCCTTCTGATCTTTATTGCTGAGTCCAGGCAGATGAATACTGTCTGTTTCACCACTAACTGCACTATCAGGCTCTGGGCGATCATAAAGGTTGTTCAACCAAGTGACCAACATCTTACTGGCATCTTCTTGAACAGTCAGCTTCAGATTTTCGTTCACACGTGCCAAGGAGGACTGAAGTTCGATCACCGATCGTGTAAGTCTAAATAATTCTTCCTCAAAAAACTGCATTTTCTTCTCATGTGGTGGAGGTTCTGGCACTTCTGTTGGTTCAGCATCTGTCTCAAAGAAATAGCAGACAAAGTCTTTACATAAGTATTCCTAGCTGTGTCTGTTTCAGTCAATGGAAAATGACTGTACTTTTGCTGAAATCCGAATAATGTTCTAGAATGCACAAGGTTAGTTCCTTTTCCTGTCAGTTCTTTCAGTAGTTTGTTATTAAAATTCTACCAAATATTTTCAAACTCTAAGTTTTATAACATTGACCAATTCCTGCCATGATACTAATTGTTAAATAAATTAGCAAGCAGAAAATCACTAATAAAACATTACAGATTTATACATGTCAAGACACAATTCTCTTAGAACAATGGTCTTCTCTGCAACAATAACTTAGCGTGTGCCACTCTTAAATTTCCATTGAAGATTTTGAGTAGCAACAACCTATGTGCATTAAGAGGCTTTGTGCTCCAGTATTTTGCTGAGTTTGAGTTCAAATGCATATACTGGATAGAGTTCTTCACTCTTGTTATCACACTCATTGCAAAATTATGCAACCCTAACCCTAACTTGATACATATTTAAATAGTAAACAACGCATAATCTCTGCGTATCCAAAACTAAACTAACACTAGCACTACGCACTTTCAATGAAAAAAGTACAAGCAGACTATTTATTTACAAACCCCTTTGCCATTATGCACTAAGAAGCAAAAAAGTCCCAATTCTGATTTTGCACTATATCCTTCATATAATTCAAAATTCAAAGACCTTTGCACAGTTAAGGCATTCCATTACAGGAACAAGTACAAGTAAAATGAAGTTAAGAAGCAGAAATGAAGGAGAAAATATACTTTATTATGGAAAACAGATACACAAATTCTTAGCATCAGAAGAGTTCTGTCAGATGACAAGTAAACAGCTAAGAATAAGAAAAGTCTCCTGTCAAATTGTGTCTATGTTGTGCTCAAGAATTGTTAACAGTTTAATTTTCAGACTAAAGAATCCTAGCACTGGTTCCAAGCTACAAGGTAAGACAACATTAAGATAGGTTCTGAAAGCCACGAGATTGGAATTATTCTTAGTTTTAAACTAGATTTCAGCTTAAAGACAGCACAAAGGATATTCAAGACTGGCATGGTGGCCAATTTAATACTGAAGAAGTATGAACATATGGAGTATAGCTACTACATACACATTGGTCCACGTTTTCATGGAAACAGTTTTTTCGGGATTTTTTTGTAGGAGCAGAAAGAAAATCTCTCTATATAAGCAGCATACAAGTTACTAAAGAGATTGCTGTGTTTTATTATCAACCTTTGTGCAACACCTTTGGAAGTAGTATTTTAGGTGGGCTACTAAAATATTTAAAAGCCTTCTTTTTAAAGAATGTACATAATCTATAGAAATAATTTAAAGCCATGTATTCAAACCACTTCATTCAGCTACATTAAAAAAGCCACTGGAAATCTGACTAAGTGCTATATGTGACATTAATCTCCTGTGATGCTGTGAAAAAGCCCTTTGGAAGGAAACATCTTTTCATCATCTTTTCTTAATGGTAAAAGTCATAATACTACAGTAAGAACACTCCTCTTACCCTTTAAGAATACAGTATCTCATACAAACATCATTCATTCTTTAAGGTGTTTTTTCAGCATTTGAGGCTTATCATTCCCTTACCCATTACTTAAGGTAAGTAATCTAGTATTAATCTGTAAAATCTGCTCAAGCCCTTGAACAAAGCACTGTGAAACTGCTAGGAAGAATTTCCTAGTATTAAAATTAGTATGTTCTTTTTTGTTTTAATAGCAGCTCCTCTCAAATATGTCTTTCTTCCCAAAGACTGAAGAAACAAACAAACACAAAATCTCTTCATACTACTAGAAAAAAAAAAAGAAAAAAAAAATGACCTTAATAATTCCCTGAATCATGAGCAGACAGCTGGCATTTATTGGCCAGTGTTCCACACCCATCCCTCCGTTGTCCTTCAGGAAATTCTCTGTATTAAGATTACTGTTGCCTGGCTATTATTTTCCTGCCACACAGTATCTTCCATACGGATCCTGTACCTGCCAGCAGTTGGGTTTAATCAAAACCATCATGATTATTAAGAGGACAAAAGCAAGAAACCAGACATGATCATGCATACCAAAACTGAAACAAAAAGTTACCCAAGCCTTTCTTCACAATAGCTTTTGCTGGTGTTGTGGGCCGACGAGCTGCCCTAGGCTGTTCCGATGGCCCTTCTCTGCAGTCTTCTCCTTTGTACCCAGGACAGCATCTCCATTCTAGCTCTGTCACAGTCTTATATGCAACCGTGTAGCGAGGTCTGAAACTTGTTCGGTATCTGCCAAAACAGAGAGCATTTTAAATTATTTGTAATCTCATCCGTTATCCAGATCAAACCTAAAATCAAGTCTGTTTTCCCTTTAAAATCATTTCACATGTACTTCATTTTCTTCTTGGAACACCAAACGAACAAATGTTTTTGTCCAGGTTTTAAAGTTACCTGCACTGAACCAAGGCCAGTTCAGGGAGAGCAAGCATGGCCAGAGCAAGTGGGATAACATGCTGGGGGAAGGGTCATCCACCAGACACTGCTGAGAGTAACAGTGACTGCCAGAGTATGGATTACTCTATAAATTCAAAACTTTTCTCCTCTAACTACTTGTCATCACAAACCAACCCATGAGGCTCCTCCAGCAGTAACTTGATATCACAAAACGTTTCTGCCAGCTTTGTCTCTCCATAGTCACCACTTAAACATTCCTCATGATCTGTGTGTACAGAGCAGTTAAAGCCAGGAAGACTATTCCAGTAAAAGACAAAACACTGAAAGCATGAGTCAGATAAGGACATGAAAGAAGGAGCTGGAAGAAAGGCAAGGGCCAGTGAAGGAAGCAACTCTTCCTCACTTCATTGTTCCAGTTAAGCTCAAGAGGGTCTTGCAGACAAACCTCTGCACGTTACGTGCACACAACTTCAAGGATCCCTAATTATTTGCTCAAAAGTTATTAAATAGCAAACTGCTTCTAACTGTACAACTTTCTTTAACCAAGACTATTTTCACAGTTTTCCTTATGCACGTATAATACAGAATCCCCCCAAGCCAAATTTCAGAAGCCGTTTTCTTTTATAAAAACTGCACCAACTTAAGGAATAGCTTATTTGGATTGATAAAAGTAAATATGTAATAAAGAAAGAATACGGAATAAATACGGACTAAATGAGGAAAATAAATACAACAGGAGTGGTATACCAGGAACACATTCTTCAACATAAACAAAAAGTTGTCCCAGTTCCTCATACCAATTCCTTTCTGTGAATAAAACTAATTGTATAGTGCCTACAGTTTTTAGGTCTTGTTTTTTGAAGACTATTTCAGTTTGCTTCCATTAAAGACAGACATGCTTCCCAACTGAGGTGCCCTTAGAGTAGTAATGCTATACAAGAAACAAAAGGCAGCAGCAAAGGGCTCAACAAGAGCTCTCCAACAGATTTCATTCATACAGAATGTCTTTTAGGACACAGAGAATACAGTGCAAACCAGAAACAGCTGTGCTATCACAAAGAATTGACTCCATGTTTCATTAAATGTTTTCTTGTATTAGTATGCAAACTCCCTTTTTGTCTCAAAGTAATCAGTTGCTAGCTATCAGATGGAAAGTATTGCGCCAACTGTGAAGCAGTTTGTATTGAATGTAACAGAGTTTAACTGTCAATCTCCATGACTTTTCCCGCCACATTTGTATATAATTAAAGAAATATATATATATATATTTATGCAACATCTCCCACTTCACAGACGTAATTTTAATATGTCCTACATCTGATAGCCATTTGCTGTGTGCTTTTTGGTGAGCTGCTTCACAAATTTGGGTGGGGGAGTTCAAAGAGTTAAATACTAATTTGTTTCTTCTCCAGTTCTGCAACAATATATTCTGATTTTTGCACAGAGGAAATACTTGGTGCTCTTTTGTGTTACCACTTCATCTATAATCACAGCATCACAGAATGGCCAGGGTTGGAAGGGACCTCAAAGATCATGAATCTCCAACCCTCCTGCCACATGCAGGGCCACCAACCTCCCCATTTAATAGTAGACCAGGCTGCCCAGGGCCCCATCCAACCTGGCTTTGCACACCTCCATGGATGGGGCATCCACAGCCTCTCTGGGCAACCTGTTCCAGCACCTCACCACTCTCTTGGTAAAGAAATTCCCCATGATATCCAACCATCATCTTCCCACCTTCAACTTAAAAACATTTCCCCTTGTTCTGCCATTATCTACCCTTTAACCTTTCAATAAAGGGCAATAAGTTACTTTGACCAGAGACATTGTCCTCTTTTCACAACTGTTTTGGGGCCAAACAGTAGTCAGTCTGACAAGCCATACTGGATTCTCTTTTCTCTTAACAGAAAGGCAAGGGTGGGTCTGGCTGTAAATCTGTCTGTCAGCCACTCCCAGCTACGGTGGTCTGCTGCGGTTATCAGGTTTTCTGATTCCGACTTGGTGAACATTAACTCCAAGTGAGTTTCCAGTCTTTTTTTTTCTTTTTTCTTTACCTTTGCAATAGCATACATGAAACAGCTGTGGGCTGGTTTCAAGCTCATAGTTTCTTTTACTGCATTCATGAAAACGTCTGCTGAATGCTGTTTACAAATGTAAAGTGCAGACATCTCAAGGTCAAGTGCTTAAAAATTAAATAGATGAGTGCAGCGTAGAGGGCACCACTGGAAAGGACAACATCCCAGCCACCCATGAACTTCCTTTTCCTTCTTGCTTATCTGAATGTTAAACCACATCTCACTTAGGGAGTTTGGGTACAACTCCCTCCCTTTGAACCAGCTGCTAGAGGCAGAGAAGTGTCAGGATTAGCTAGATGCTTTAGGGGTCTGAAGTGGTTGAAGAGCCATTACCATCTCTCACACAAGCACCACATTACTGAAGTACAAACTCAAAATCCAGATCAATTTTCCTATGCCGGAAATGGTAGTACATACTTTGCTCTGATTTCCATAAAGCACTTAACTGCTCACAGCTCTGTGTGTGTTCCTTCCCACACTTTCAGGGCCAAAATCCCTCCTGCAAATCCAACTATTTTGACCGTCTTCAGACACCACCAAGTTGCATTTCCCTATTTCTTTCCATAGAGAATGTTTATATATATTATATATATATATATAAAACATATAGCGTAATGTTTTATAGCTAAAAACAATTCTGTAAAAGGAATAAGAACAACTGTAGTGCAAAATACATATTTGATTATACAATTATACAATTTTCCTTGTACCACTTCTGTCACTTCAATCAGAACTCAGACAAGTTTATGCATACTTCCTCTACTGTCATGTTCATCAATGCAGCCACCTTCAGATGACTTCAATATTCAGCTAAAAGTAAATTACAAGACACTATCACATACAAAAGAACAACACAGAAAAAAATCTAAAGGAATCATGCTTAATATTTTTCATATGGGCAAATTATACAACTTTTTAAAAGAGGTTTTTAAAGCCAGAACTTTGCTCACAGAGTGGATTTCAGTAGGGGAGCCACAGACTTCCAGGGCTGTGCCAGCATTTAACAGTGTAATAGCACCAAACACAATTATATTCTTGGAAACGGTTCTGACAGAACAAAAGCAAAACATAACTTTCTGGTAGAGAGAACATCCAAAAAATAATTTGCAGTTCTACATAATGAATGACATAGGATCGGGAGCTACTGAATAAGTCTGTATTTATATTTGCAGTACTTTCAATCAAATTGCTCACTTATATTCATATCAGGGCACATGAAATATACTCGGAATAGGAAAAGAGACAACGTCAATATAACGTTGCTTCTCTACACAACTGGACAGCTTTTAACAATATTTTATACCCATATTTTATCTCATAGATGTGAATCTCTACACAGTTACGTAAGGAAGCAGTTTAGTCAAACAGATTCAGAAAAGTTCCTCAAGTCTCTTAAAGAACTCTGGCCTCACTTTAATGCCTGCAAATATTGGAACATAACTTAATAAGACTTAATAACACATTAAGTCTTCCTCCAGTTGATTTCTGCTATTCAAGTAAGCATTAATAGTCACAATTATTTTTACAAGCGTCTCACAGATTGCAATGTTTTTATTATATGATTAAAACTTGTACCACCAGCATTTATTGTACCTCAGTAACCCACCCATGAGGACCCCCAGCTAAAGAAGATGATCATATCCTTTTGTTGAATTAAGTCAAATAATATTAATGAGGTCATTCTTTTAGAAGGCATGAACAGAGTGATTTCAACAGTCTCATTTTTCCCTGTAAGAAAGAAAATAAGAACAGCTGGGTTTTTAGGACTCTTTCCATGACAGAGTTTTAGCAACTAGTGCCTACTACCTTCGCCATGAATTCAACACGTTGATCAAATGAGACAACACATTCAGAACAGTAATGTATGTCTCCATTTTTAATAACTAAATATTTCATAGTTGAACTGAAGTAGTACAGTGCAGCAGTAATGTTCAGTGTCTCTTCCTCTTTGAGAGGAAAGTATTTTCTTAGGAAAACGCTTTAATTAAAAATACATGTTTGCTTCAAAAGCTAGACGTTTTGACTATGGAATGAGCTATAATTTTCTCATGGTGCTAAACCACAGAAGGAAGCAGTTAGCACTGATATTTGGAATGTCACCTAACAGCGATAAAACAAATCAGAAACATTTGGGCGGAACTGGTGGGAAAACATATGGCTCAGTTCTGTAACTAGATATTAACATTCAATCTTTAGGGAAATGCAAGGAGATAACTGCCACCACATCCTCACTGTGAGCAAGGGACTGCAGAATCAGCATGTTTCTACATAAGCAGTGTATAAAATGTTTATTCTGAGCACAAAACTTCAAGGTCAGTCCAGAATTCTGTAGCCATTGGAACAGGTCCCATAACTTCAGAGGCCTGCAAATCGTGGTCTTATTGAATATAAGATAGCTAATCTTCATTACTTAATGCTTTCACTGAATGTAGATCCACTTTTTCTAAACGATCTAGTATGCTCTGGCACATCCCAGTCATCCAAATCTCCAATATACTTCAATGGGGGTGCTGGAGTAGCATACAACTCCTCCTCACACATCACTTACCTATAAGATAAAATGAAATGCAATCACATTTTGGAAAAGTACTTATTTTTATTTCGCAGGCTGAAGGGACTTTGGCTGAAAATATACCTAAGTTGTCCATTCCTCCCACACAGCTACTGAGCCAGTATTAGTTAGCCCAGCGTCTTCTATTTCCCAACTGTCTAGACCTACTTGTAGCCCCTACAAAAGGTGGCAGAAATTCCAGCTCCACT